GTGACGAGGACAGCGGTCGTCAGTGATTGGAGTACAGTATTTATTACAGGAAACTGCCAAATTTTGTTGGGTAGTCAACTTGGTGGACTCCATACAAAAGCGAATGACTTCAGTGCTCACAAATGGAGAAGGGAAAATAGAACTTGTATCAAATCTATGGGTCATTTTGATAGATAAATTCTGTTTGCGTTTCTTCCCATGAGTTTGCTATTTTACAAATGATTCTCCAGTAACCGCCGTCAAAACCGTCAAATTGTACGTTTCAATAACATGTGGCTAATAGCTGCAGAGGCATAAGTGAATAAACTTATCGATTTCCTGCATGGGTGTGGTGATCCAGACTTCCGTGACAGCAATCCATGCACGACCAGGTACAACTTCATGTCATCCAATCACCGTTCAGGAAGCTCGACCAATGCTACACCGGACGAACATCACATCCGAGTTAGCACATATGATACATCGGTGCAAACGGTTACGTGATTAGACGACAGTCCTTCAACCACTCATATGGCCTATTACCTTCTATACAAGTCTATCAATAAACATGAGTATTTGCTGCTATCAATTCTTCGTGCATTCCATTGGTGTCCGCAGTTCGGGTTGGAGCCAATCGAGTTTGGGGCATTACAGTACGGGTTCTCGTATTCCTACATTCAGTACTATTCCGATTACCACAATTTAGCGTCGCGCAATGGAGATTCCTGTCATTGAACAATTGAACCTCCACGGAAGCCCTTCGGAAATCGAAGAGTGGGTAGAACGTTCCGAATTATAGTGCAGCATCCGGAAAGGAGGAATGCAAAATCAATCGGTCCTATTTATGACCATGGGCGGCCGAGAGCTATATTCCCTGGTGAATAATTTAGCGTTCCCGATTGTTCTTGCTGAATTGCCGTTCGAGAAGTTGAAATCCCTATTGCTGGACCACATTCTACCAATGGATTTTCAGGCCACTCAACGGACTAAATTCAACTCAATGATCAGAGCTGCCAACATGCCGTGCCGTGAGTTCATTCTCCAGTTGAACAAACAAGCGTCAAAATGTAACTATGGTGACCGATTGGAAGAACAACTTTGTGACCGTCTCATTGCTGGAATCAACAACATCTCATTAGAACGTAAGATGTTGGAAAAGAAGGAAATCACGTTTGCTGAGGCTCGAAAACTCTGTAAGCAAAGTGATGCTTTGTGTGCTGCCACAAATGCGGATACTCCTGTGTTATTCCATCAGCGATCAACAAAACCCTTACGTGATGCACCGAGTGTTCATAATTCACACCGTTCCTCAAGTACCCAGTTCAAGCCGAACACAACCGCAGGCTGACACCAACCGCTGCCTTTCATGTGTTGATTACCATTTTTGTTCGACTTGTCGATTCCGTAATGTCACTTGCCACACATGCCGTAAGATGAGCGATATCCGTAAGGTTTGCCGAATGCTCAAGTGCAACCTCGTCGATTCCCATATCCCAACGGCAGATGAGAATTCAAGCCCAATTTACACGCTGCAGACCACCGAATCCAACAGCCAGTTCGTTTTCGCCCCACTGAGGTTCGAGTCTGGTGTGGAGCATCCATTCATCATGGACACAAGAAGCAGTGCATCTATTCTACCAAAATCAGTACTCACTGCGATTTGTCCAAATGGTGTTCTAGCCCCGACTTCTGTGTGCATTCATGGGGTTACCGGCTATCAACTGCAATTACTTGGCGAAACAATGTTGTGCGTTCAATCTGAATCCGGTGTATCAATCCCAATCCGATTCCTGGTATCAGCCCACAGACCGTTCATTTTGGGCCTTCGAGCAATGCGGCTACCGCAAGGACCAATCACATCACATATCAACAACGATATGCCAATCACCTCACATCTTAAACATTTGATTGTACAGTGTTCCGGTAACGGTGGTGACATGAAAGTACCGTCGGTAAAGTTGGAAGTGGACGGTGAACCTTTTTTCCTAAAACGACGCGTCCTCCCATACGCTCAACGGGAAGGTGTCCTGAAAGCATTACAGAAGATGGAACAGGATGGCGTGATCAGCAAAGTTGAATCCAGTGCCTGGGCTACCCCGATCACCGTGGCGATGAAAAGTGATGCTAGGACACCACGGATCTGTGGAGACTATCGACTGACGTAGAATCCCAGATTGCGGAGATCAAACCATAGGATTTCATGAATTCATTGCATGGTTGTCAATATTTTTCCAAGATCGATTTATCGGACGCATACCTACAGATTCCACTCAATGTTGGATCTCGCTACTTGACAACAATCAATACGCCATGGGGAATGTAACAGTATAATTTCCTCCTGTTCGGATTGTATGTTTTCTGGCCTCTTTCAATCGGCAATAGACAGTGTCATCAAAAGACCCGACCGTGCGTTTGCATATCAAGATGTCGTCCTCATTTTCGGTCTTAATAAGAAAGAACGCGATGCCTGTCTTACGCAGCTACTGCAACGATTCATCGCCAGGAACGTGGCTATCAAGCCGTCCAAATGTGTGTTTGGAATGAGTGAGTTGGAGTTTCTAGGATTCACAGTTGATTCCCGTGGATACTGTCCCGATCCGA